TACTTTACTTTACTGCAATACCACCACAATGGCATCATGATAACCATGACATCTCACTCCTATCAGCTCTCAGGTGAAACAGAAAGATGCTATGAGTATCAGAATGCCACAATGGTAATGTTACTTTAGATTGGCCATCCTGATTAGTGTAATTGCTCTCTGGCTATATTTTCTGCCATTGTGGTATGTTCAGACCCTCGATGTCTGCTTTTAACGTGGCTGTATGCCTGAGTCACATTTGCTCAGATTCATCAGCCGGGGCCAGTTCAATTGAATATTTTGTTCAAAACTGAAATCAATTTTTACCCTTATTTAGTTTGATTTAAAAGAATGCTTCATATGCATTAGCCTATAAACCTCAGGGTGTGCACTCATTTGACCAAATCACCAAATCATTTTTGAAGAAAGTACTAAAAAGTGTGTCTCTAGGGCACCCTTGTATTGAACAGCCTTGCAACCTCCAGGATCTGATAAACCCAGCTTGATTGAAAAGTGAAATTTCCTAGAGGATCTCTTTTAAATCACTGAATAAAGTGAAAAAGAGAGAGAATACTGAGGAAAGAAGTTAACATGCATGCAGACACATTCCAAATTGTAGAGAAATATCATAAAATATGCTCTTTTACTCAAATTTTAAAGAGAAATATGTTGAAAAAATATAAGCAGACGCCATTTAAAACATGGGTATCAGCCCAATAAACATGTGTTCCCCCAACAACACACCAACATAGATAAGACAGGGGATTTCCTACATGCAGTTCACCATGCTCAGTCATATAATGATCACTTATAGTCATTTGGTGCATGTATTCAATGTCATTTAGCCATTCAGTGCATTGAATCATAACTAAATGTCACTTGGTATGTTACTCAGGGGTCCTGCTTTGCCTAAGTTGCTTGGTTCAACACCTTCGTAATCATCATGATAAACCATATCATCTCCTTCTCAAGTCTGGAGATGAGTTTGCATTGACAGGACTAGAAAGATGCGATGAGTATCAGAATGATTAGTATGGTTGGTTTACCAAATATAAGAAATAATCATGTTGCACACCAAAAGACATTTCATGCATTTACCGTTTACTGTTCAGTAGTTATGTAACGACTGGTTGGACAGGTGTATGAGAGACTGAATGATGAAAACAGGTTCTTCTCTAAAAGCTTCATGTGTTCATCTCAAAGAAAAACAGCTGAAGATACTAAGACACTAGTCTACCACAATTTTTACACCAGATCACAAAATAGCCATTGTGGTTGAGGGGCGACATCAAAAACATTATTGTATCCTGCAAGCCCCATTTCAAATTATTGTTTTTTTCGTGACATATTTCACTATTTCACTCTCTGCTTATAAACCAAAGTTAGCTTGATGTGAATTCAGATGGGAATTACCAACTACTTTTTAACCATTTACCCTCTCCCATATTTAAAACTAATATTATGAATGGGATTACTTTTTGTTTTAATGCAGTCCCTAACCACACCCATTTCTTCATTACCTTTGGATGATATGTTAAGAAGGTCTGATAAATCAAATTGGTCTGTAACATAGATACCCTAATATGGGATAAATGTCCTTATATGGCATTGATATTGATTTATTAACAGTCATGGACTGTCCATACTAATTGTAGTGATTTGAGTGTTTTACATCCAATGTGATTGATACCTTTCAGAGTTCTTTAAGTCATTATCTCTTCAAGTCGTTGATGTGATCCTTTGATGTGGTCAATTACAGAGCTTAAGAAATGCCAGAAGTCTTGTCTTCGCTGGCTTATAATGTCCATCTGCTCATGCATATTTTGTTCTTGTAACTTGCAAGAACTGCCAATTCTTGCATTTGTATTTTTGGAGCATTAAGTTCATTCATGTTTACTTTATTCAACATTGATTTCTCTTGTTTTGTCTATTTTTTGTAGTGTTAATGGGGTACATCAACTGAGATGGGATATGGAGTATTTTAAGCCTTACTTCAATTTAGCCCTTGTGATCCCAATTCATATTTCACCTATTTGATAGTGATCAATATAAATAAACTCCTATAAATCATAATGAATAAAAATACCAGGTACCCATCATTACCTAGTACTGAAATATTTTTAAATGATTGAAATTCAGACTTTTCATTATGGAAAACTTATTGACATGAGGCTGTCACATTCTTTCACTGGAGAGTAAATTAGGTTTGTTATCAAAGTATTTTGTTAGCAAAATAAGGTCTGTGGTTTTGCCAAATCTGGTCTGGGGTAGCCCCAAAGGGATGTTGCATTGATGTTTTATCATGGAATAGATTCCAGATGATCACATGCTATTTTTGTGGGCGAATAAGTTCAAGGATTTTGAGATATGTATCAATATTTTTAAATGCATTGTCATATAATTTGACCATACATATGTTACATCAGAGAATATACATGGTTTAATAACAAAATCAGTGGCAATACTCTTAATTTAATGAAAGCACAATTTCCATATGGGAACTGGAATACCCTGAGCCTAGAGTCTAGCTAGATACAAAGCTTTCTAAAGAGATTGTGAAGTCTAATGATTTCACAGGGTATATAACCTGAATAAACCTGGTCAAATTTAATCAAATCTAGAACAGGCTATTTTTATCCCTATGGACTAACTCACCACATTGAAAAGGGAAGGTACAGTTACAGAGACTATCACAAAGAATTCAGATGACATTGAACTCAGCAAATTCTTAGGAAAAAGTTGATAGCAATTTATCAGCAGTTGGAGATATTGTGCTGAATCAATTCTATACCGTAATGACTGCCATTTAGAACCACCTGTGTCTTTACTCAACTATTTACAAGTCATTTGTATTGTTAGAAGTCACAATTTTCTGGATTTCATATCTACTTCTTAGAAAATGTTCTAATCATAATAATCATAATATAGTGTTGAGTTCAATTTCAAAAACAATGATCATTTAGATCCCACACCTTGTTTGTGGTATTCCTCAAGGCTCCATATTCAAGACCCTACTTCATAAATATTTTAATTATTTAAGAGAGGCTTCCACAAGGCTCTATATTTGAAACCCTGTTTTTTATATAACTTTGGCTCTATTCATTTTGTCAAAAGAAATATATGATATATTGGTGAACTAAAGTAGCTATATTTATACACATGATCAAATAATTTCACTGCATCATTATTCACCTATGACTGCTTATTTCACTGAAATGGTACTAAGATGCATATTGAACATGGAATAATCTTGAGTCATCTAATCACTTTAGATATGAATGGGTGTGAATGCATATTATAAGTTTGTGTTAAGATGCATTTCAATAAATCAATTAATATTGCATGTGAACTAGATGCAACAGCATATTGCGCTGCATCTTCATTGCAATTCTATCTATTATATACACTTTTCTGTACCTTAGGTACAATTTAGGAAGCATTTTAGTATATAATAATTTGTAGTGTTTTTGTTTGATTCATAGAAATATATTTTATGAAAGGGTCCAACTACAATTTGCAAGGGTCAACAGCAGAACAATAAAATATACCAATGTTTTTTTAACCATCCTTCACATTTTGGATGTGTTATGAAGATGATCTTATATTTGGCTGTATCCATATGTATTATGTGTAAATGTATATTTCATGAAATATTTCTTTTAGAATTCGGCCAAAGAAAGTATACATCCTAGTATACTGTTTAAGTAATGTTTTAATATTTAACTTATATGAAACATAACTTTTGCATAGAATGTGAAATAATAATTATTTTTTATTTCAAAACAAGTCATTTGTTATATATCAACATCTTTTTAACCCTCTTAGATCATTTCATTCCTAACTTCAGTTAATACTGTTCATTTTACATGTATCTGCAGTACTTAACTCTATTTAATGTATTTATGTCAATGAAAATCTTGACATGTTGAAGTTTTTTAAATCAAGCAAATCTTCCTTATGGCATAGATGTTTGGTAAAATGAACAGCCTAGTCATTACCTATCCCATCTGAAATGTTATCTCCCCTTCATGGAACCTACCCCCTCTTCAATGCTGTTAACCTTTGTTGTTTAAGTTAACCCCTGTCTTATAATCTCAATTCATTTATTCCTTAGGTAGTAATAAAAAGCATTAAATGTATATGAATGAACCAAAAGTAGTGCCTCTTGTACGACACATCATAAACAGCAGCCTTTTTAAGGTCCCCTTAATGCACTCCATAGTAAGAGGTCTTCTCATTGGCTGTATGGCTGAATTTTTCAGATTATCACCATCCTCCAATGCACATTGCACTTATTAACTATTCATCAATAATCCCCCATGCAGACCATATATTTAAGTTAACATATATGATCTTAAAACTGCTGCTAGAACCTAACTTTGGGCAAAACTTTTACTTGTTACTAACATACTTGAACAGAAGGTACCAATTTCCTCTGTTATTTTGGCTTGTATCTTTTACTATTAGTTAACTTTTCCTTATTTCCATAAATACACATCTTATTCTTGCTCATGTCTAATTTTGAGTTTTTTCTTGTCTTATTCTTGGTTTTGGATCACAGTAGCCACTTCCGCCTAATCAAGCACACATTTTCTGTACATTTCAATAGCAAAAGCTTTAACTGAATAATTCGCACATAAGAATGTGTTAGAATCTAGTACAAATTATTATTTTCATATATGATTTATTTTTTCAAAAACAGCACATCACATGTGTCGTATGATTCATGACACACCACATATGTGCTTCATGACTCACCACATATTAATCTTTGCACATTAAATGCATAGTGGAAAAGGTAAAAGATACACAGCCAATCAAGTGTCAATTGAAAATACTGAAATCACATCACATTAATTTTGCCATATATGGAATCAACACTTATGAGTTTAAATCTGGCTTTTTATTATTACGTTGAGGGATGCAGTACAATCCCCTTCCTCTTTTCTTCCGAAATCCTAGTTACTCCACTATTTCTTTCACTAGTTTATATTTTTGTTTTCCATTTTCCATGTAAATAGCGTCGCTGAGTATGTTACAAACAAGTAAGATTTTTGCCATATTTTATTGTGTATAGTTGATGGACCTAACCCTCTGTTGATGATTTGCATGGCGCTATGAGACGCATATATATGCATGGAAAAGGCATGGTTCCCCTGATTTTAACTAACATGGTTGCTATAGCAACTAACAGCAAATTAAATAAACAAAATTAGAAATATTCCAGAAAATGATATCCAGTTTTCTATATTATAGTATGATTTCATAACATTCATAGTTATAATTTTTCTTAATTTTCATTTCTACAAAAGTATAATTGATTTCCTTCTTATGATTTTTTGTTGTCCACAACTGTTATCTTCCCCAAACCCATAGAAATCCTCATCTTTCATTCTTTTCCTTCATCACCATTTTTCTTTGAAGTTTTAGTTGCCACAGTTATGTAACAAAATTACCATGGAAACCATCATGTAAACCAAGGTTACTAATAGGGGTTCCATGCCTTTAATTTTTAGATGTAGCTGCCTAGTTTTATAGGACACATTTGAGTTGATATCCAAACCCACCCCAACAAATGTTTCTATAGCAACCTAGCTTATATGATTTACATAGTGATCTATAACATTTGCAATATAAAATGCTCATGGGTGTCCAACAATGTATTTAGACCACATTTGTGGCAAATGGCTTGGTGGTGGATGCATGTCTTGTTCTGTTGAAGATCTTTGTCTGTTTAATAAGATGTGGGTAATGTTTGTGGTTTACTATGTTATAGTGACTATATTTACCTAATCTGGATGGAAGAAATTGTCTCTGTATCACAATACATAAAGACTGATGTTTTCATGTTCTCATTTCATAATGTTTTAAGAGACAGTTTTAACCCAGAAGTATGACACTCTGTTCATTATTGCACCCCTCGTATGCATAGCAAGCACACTTTACTAACACAAGTAAGAATATAGTTGAACTCAACATTAGGCCTACATTCCTACTTGGTTTATGGTTTTCTGTTTTTAACCATTTTATACCATTTTTATTATTTCATTTATTTATTATTTTGATAAGCTAATACCAGTCACATTTGAAAATTGCTTGCTTAACTTAATTTTAAATTTCTTTTTTTATTTCGTAATTTTGGTATTCTGTTTTTCAATTTATCTTCTATTGAAATAGAAGCTTTTTAAAATTTAACCATATTATAGTATGAGAATTAATATAAAAAAGTATTGTAACACATTTTCAATTAAACTAACTCAATTTTGTTTAAGATCTCTGTAATACATTTATGTGTATTTTGCATGTCTTGATAATAAAAAAAACTAAATTCAATATCCATTTCAAATCATCAACATCACATTGTTACAATACCTTTTTCATCTAATTCACATATCTACCAAATCATTAAAATAATTATTGTAAATCCTTAGAATTCTTTTTAATTATTCTGGAGTAACTAAATCCATATTAATGTAGTGTTAATGTTGATTATTGTTATTATTTAAAGTAATAATGATATAATCCCGTAAAATAGCTTAAATCCACCACAAAAATTCTTATTAGAAGCTGGTTAAAAATGCATGTCTGAAATCAACCATCCAACCAACCAACACACTTTAGTTACCAGTGACCTCTTTTTGATTTAAAGTTTATTATATTCATACAAACAGTGACATCTTTTAATGTGAATACAAATGGTCTATTCATCATCCATCCAAAAATATTTTAAAGATAGGATAAAATAAGATAAACATATAAATATGAACTAATATGAAAAAGATTTTTAATCAAGAAAGGGTCACTCTGTATTTATGCTAGTTGCTTAACGCTTGCCGTGTGCAGTTATGGCTTTAATTTTTGTATGATCTAATTTTTCTTCCAGGTCCCTAGATATACTACTGATGCCAGATTTTGAGTCTTTAACCTTTGTTGATATTATGTGAATATTTTCAGCTCTGTTGAATATGCAGTTGATGCTGAAAATCTTAGTTTATCAGCCATAAGGACTATACGAGTGTTGAGACCTCTTAGAGCAATTAATAGAATACCTAGTAAGTATTAGTACAGTCTAGCACTGCATGCATAGGGCAGAGTCATAATATATTATGTTGGATTAAGAAACTGCCCATGGAAATAAACTTGAGCATATTATCTTAATATGAGGGTTTTCATTTACACTTAACAAAAATATATTTAGGGTTGTATAAAAGTATTTAGGGTTGAAGAAAGGTATTAAGGGTTGTAAGAAGGGGAAATTGATAAGATTTTGTACTATATTCTCAATATTATAGACTATATTCACATGGAAAAAGAGGGAGTGCTATAGGCATTCTATGTTATAATATTGATGTTCTATGTTATAACATCTTTCAAAATGGTTACAACAGGGGTAGTGCACCAAGTGCAGTAAATCGAAATAAACAAGAACATTAGCACTAAGTCTGTAATCTAAAATCTCTAGAAATGACAGCAAATCAGCAAATCAATGCAATCACATTTTTAATGAGAAATGGTGCCTAACAAGCAAGACCACTTCGACTTTTTACGCACGAAAAAACTGGTGGCTGCTGAGGCTGCATCATGCTATTGATTTCTATAAGCTAATCCCAAATCTGATGCGGAAAAGACCAGGTCATCGTGACTAAACATTTTTACTCTGAAAGAAAACTTGTAATGTTTATTTATCAATCTGTGCCTTGTTGTGTGAATTATTTTAACTTATACCTGGGGGTAATAGGGAATCCCTACCTTCCAATTTTGGTAAAATGTGATCCTCGCATTTCCTGTTCAGTTTATTGTGACCTTATATTGTTACATATTCAATTTTGGAAGTTATGGGCTTCTTTTGTTCATAACTAATATTTCATTATATATAGTGGTAACTAATACACATCAAACCTTTATTAGTTGAAATGCCCAGGGCTCTAATTCTTAGATTCTTTAATTAGTGTGGACTTATTTCAAAAAGATCTGCAGAATTTCAACATTTTCCGTTATTACTACCATACCTTTGTTACCAGTGTTATGAATTTGCTGTACTACTGGGCAATGATCTCAGGGTACATGTTTTTATCTGCTTCTCTGATGCCCCATTCTGCATTTTCAGGTATGAGAATCCTGGTGATGTTACTGTTGGATACGCTCCCTATGTTAGGCAATGTCCTTCTCTTATGTTTCTTTGTGTTCTTCATCTTTGGCATCGTTGGTGTACAATTGTGGGCTGGCCTACTACGCAACAGATGTTTCCTGGATCTAGATCCTAACATATCCCATGTAGGGTAAGTATGAGTTATCCCATATATTTTTAATTTCATATTGATGAAGTATATAGGGGCCCATGTTGATTTCTACATACATCCAGTTACTTATTTCATACATTAGTCTTAATAGAGTAATCTACAAGAGTAAATATTTGAAACATAAAATAATTTTAATAAGGTACAGGGTGATCCACAATGTTCATTTTAATAAGGTACAGGGTGATCCACAATGTTCATTTTAATAAGGTACAGGGTAATCCACAATGTTCATTTTAATAAGGTACAGGGTGATCCACAATGTTCATTTTAATAAGGTACAGGGTGATCCACAATGTTCATTTTAATAAGGTACAGGGTGATCCACAATGTTCATTTTAATAAGGTACAGGGTGATCCACAATGTTCATTTTAATAAGGTACAGGGTAATCCACAATGTTCATTTTAATAAGGTACAGGGTAATCCACAATGTTCATTTTAATAAGGTACAGGGTGATCCACAATGTTCATTTTAATAAGGTACAGGGTAATCCACAATGTTCATTTTAATAAGGTACAGGGTGATCCACAATGTTCATTTTAATAAGGTACAGGGTAATCCACAATGTTCATTTTAATAAGGTACAGGGTGATCCACAATGTTCATTTTAATAAGGTACAGGGTGATCCACAATGTTCATTTTAATAAGGTACAGGGTGATCCACAATGTTCATTTTAATAAGGTACAGGGTGATCCACAATGTTCATTTTAATAAGGTACAGGGTGATCCACAATGTTCATTTTAATAAGGTACAGGGTAATCCACAATGTTCATTTTAATAAGATACAGGGTGATCCACAATGTTCATTTTAATAAGGTACAGGGTGATCCACAATGTTCATTTTAATAAGATACAGGGTGATCCACAATGTTCATTTTAATAAGGTACAGGGTGATCCACAATGTTCATTTTAATAAGGTACAGGGTGATCCACAATGTTCAGTCTTACTTCATGAGATTGTTTTGGTGTTCAAAATGTTGAAACCTTGAACTTCCTATCTTGCAAATATCGATATATCAGGTGTCTTACTTTATTAATGGCCCTGAATAATTCATTGTTCCCGGATCTCTGATAGAATATAACATGGTTCATGCAAACAACTGAAGATTTCCATCAAAGTTCATGGAAAAAATTCTCAGATCTTGAAAATGTAGGACAACTTATTGAATTAGCTACTACAAACAATAAGCTCTTACAAAATGATTGTCAGATCAAAGTTAATGACATTATTTTTCATGTATCTAATTCTGAAAGTACATACCGACTTTATATTATCAATCCTTGTTCTGTTTTCGCATCATCAATGAGCATCAAAGAGATCTATCGAGCATAGATAAAAATAAACATTTATTCTGTACAGAAGACATAAAGTGCCGTCCATATTCTTGTAATATTTGAACAATGTCAATATATATGGAAGTTCCTTATTAACTTTGGAGATAAATCATCTAGAGCTATAGCTTACCCAGAAGATATAGTATGAAGATGGACTTAAAATGCAGAAAGAGTGAAAATTAATGAGATTCTTGAAGAATAAAGGAATAACTCAAAATCCCTGCATTTCATTGAAAGAGAGAAATTCTGAAAAATATTCATTCTGATTTAGTGAGATTTTAGCATGGGCTCAACAATAAGAGAATCATTACCATTGTTTTGATCTTTAGCAGTGAGATGAACCATTTTCGTATAACCCAAGTATCCCTGTAGTAAGATTCCTGGTGAGGTTATATCTGGAAAAGTAATGCATTTTGATTCCTGATTTCCTTTTAGGAGACAATTAATATAATAAAATCTGCAACAATCTACGTCAGTTGTAAGTTGCAATGTATTCTACCTTGTCACTGGTCATTGATTTCATAAGAGATAAAATATCAAGATCCTTTTTATAAGTTTAGATTCAATAAAGATTTGAATTACTTCACCGAAAAGGTAAATTGTTGGTCAAATCAGATTTCTTTCTTGAACGTTGTCCAATCAGCTGAGCTGATTGCTTGTTGCCTTCTCAGTCAAAGAACAGAATCATGATCATTACCTTAACCTTGACTTAATTTCCTCATCATACCTTGTGCAACTGATTTATATCAGACTTGCATATAGTATAGTACAGATCTATATTCAATATCAAAATCAATTATACAGTTTATTTCTAAATGCTTTTAAGGTATACATTCATTAATATTCTTTTATACATGTATTGAATGCAAATATTTTAACATATTTATCAAATGCAAATCTTTTTAAATATTTATGAATGCAAAAACCTTTGAACAATTAATGCATTCATATCATCTTCCTAATTCATTTTTTTATTTGCTACCGTAAGAACATCACAGCTTTGAGATGTGTTCTATGCAACATATATATATATATCTTTTATCGACTCTTTAGATGTCATATCATGACATATTAGTCACTTAGGTAGAGCAGTTCTTCCCATTGTCAAGTTGAAGAACTGGTATCTTTATCCTGGCTAGAACCATAGACAATTCTAGCCAGCGCCAGCCTTTTATCGAGTTATCATGCACATGTCTAAAAGTAAATTCATGCCTACCTTAATTGTACATATCATGCACATGTCTAAAAGTAAATTCATGCCTATCTTAATTGTACATATCATGCACATGTCTAAAAGTAAATTCATGCCTACCTTAATTGTACATATCATGCACATGTCTAAAAGTAAATTCATGCCTATCTTAATTGTACATATCATGCACATGTCTAAAAGTAAATTCATGCCTATCTTAATTGTACATATCATGCACATGTCTAAAAGTAAATTCATGCCTACCTTAATTGTACATATCATGCACATGTCTAAAAGTAAATTCATGCCTATCTTAATTGTACATATCATGCACATGTCTAAAAGTAAATTCATGCCTACCTTAATTATACATATCATGCACATGTCTAAAAGTAAATTCATGCCTATCTTAATTGTACATATCATGCACATGTCTAAAAGTAAATTCATGCCTACCTTAATTGTACATATCATGCACATGTCTAAAAGTAAATTCATGCCTATCTTAATTGTACATATCATGCACATGTCTAAAAGTAAATTCATGCCTACCTTAATTGTGAAGCAGTACATGTATAAGTTGAAGCCTCACCAGAATGTTGGATTCTGATCACATAGAGATATATTATCAACTATAAAAACTCGGAGAATAACAAAAAGATTCCTGAAATGAAGAATATTATCCCAGTAATTTGGTACTTGAATGAGTGTGTGTTTTTTTAAATCGTCTTATCCTTTTAAGAAAGGGACATGAAAAATACTTCATTTTATTGGATATCAGAATAATCAAGTAAAGTCAGGTATTTGTTTTCATTGTTAATGACTGGAAATATTGCAAGAGATCTTGCTTCTGTCATGCTTCTTTCACTGCATTTCTCTCCTAAATTTGAAAGAAGTCCCTGACTTTCTGACATTTCTCTATGATTTCAAGTATAAGCTACATGCCTGTTAACTTTATTCCTTGCTAAATCCTCTCTTTTTAAATATATTTTGCATTTTAATCTACAACCACCATAGCACTTTTTCCGCTGGGTTTTGCAATATTGATAGAGTTACAGGATATTGTCTAGGTGAAACAGTAATGAATTAGAGACCAATTTTGAAAGCCACTAGCGAACAGACGTCATAAGAACATGATAGATTGGGCTCGGATAATATTGACATAGGCTTTTTATACAAAACATCTACAAGTCTCATCAAGGGTACCAGGTTAAGTTAGCTTCATTTTCAAATATTTTGTGATCAGTTTCTAATATTGGAATGTTACGTCAAGATTGATGTAACCATTGTTGCTATGGCAGCACATCAATGTCAACATTGACTTCCCATCTAGGGCATAAGTCAGAGTATCAATTAAAAATATTGAGGATTGTTTGTCCCAGAAAAACCATATTCATTTTGCCAATTGTGTTTTATATTCACATTATTACTCGCCAGTATAAATTCCATATAGATTAAGTTCATGCAAACCTATGCATTCACCAATTTATCTCATAAATTGAATTTCTTATCCGGAGAAAGTATCAATTAAATCAAGTCAATGATGGTACTGAGAGGTGTTCCACTTAAAAAGGTGTTCCACTTATAGAAGTGTTTCACATAATGGTTGTTTTCTTTCTTTAAAAATGTTCCTTTTAAAAATGTTCCACCTATAGAAGTACTCCACATAATGGTTGTTTTTACTTTAAAAATGTTCCACTTACAAATGTGTTACACTTATAAAAGTGTACCACTTATAGAAGTGCTCCACATAATGGTTGTTTTTTCTTTAAAAATCTTCCACTTACAAATGTGTTCCACTTCCACAATAGGTGTTCTGTTTGACAGGTTCTACTGTATGGACAAATAGTTACATCCAGTATTTGACATTTGATGTCATAATTTAAGAGAAAATCATTACATATTCTATATATATCATCAGATTGATGCGAATTGACAATTAGAAGAGATTGATCGTCTGTTCTGATGCTAAAATTATCCCATATTGTCTAGAAATAGTTATGTCCCTTTAAGTACTCATTTTCTCTATAGAATTCAAATGAAAAATAGCTTTCCTGAAATAATCATGTAATGACAACATTATACAACAACATGTGTGTTATCTGCATGTGAGGGCACATTACACGTGATAGTCAGGTAACACGTGTTTTTCCATGTGAATTTTTTCAGTTTTCAAAATGCCATAATGTGTCTTGTTAAAAATGAAGGAGCACATATATGTATCCTGTAGCCTGCAGTGATGTAGCCAGGATTTCAAAATAGGTGACAAATATACTAGGCCAAAGGGGATAAAAACTTATTATTTGACATCTAGTCTAGCTTCAATTAAAAAAAATAGGTAATCTAATATTTTTGTAAACCTTTCCTGAGGCAGTTTTGACATTTCCTGTTTGATACCTAGGCACACTACTCGATCAAGAAAGATAATATAGGAAATGGAAATATGAC